GGGAAAAACCTATTTTTACCCCATAAAACCCCCCATAAACCCCCGTTCCCATAGTCCGATCATGCTGGTTCGCGAACTCATTCAAGTTTATCCCGCCTTACACCTTCAAACCAAATTTTATCAAAATCGGACAAAAATTACTCAAGTTATCGTGCGGATGGACACACACATATATATATATATATATATATATATATATATATATATATATATATATATATATATATATATCTATATATAGATATATAAAAATTTGAACGAATGGTGTTTTTGGCCTCTGGGGACATCAAAATGAAAAAGTAAATCGGTCCCGGGCTTAGGTCTTACCATGAGACCTACGGTAATAGCTACTTCCCTATAGGGAAATTCGCTAAAAAATAGATAAGTGAGTACATTACATATTTTTGGTTGAGTTTCGACCACTGGACGACCTCTCGTTTCTGTTAATTTATGTAGCCCTTCCAGTTTTAATGTTTGTTTTCTTGTAACATGTCCAGTTTGCTGCTGTTCTCTAATAAACTGTGTCTGTAAATCATTTTTGACAGTTTTTACAGTTGAAGTTGTAGTCTTCGTTAATGTCAGACAGACAAGTTATTGGTTTACAATCGGTCGTTACGACTGTCTGGTCTGGGCTGTTTACAATGTTTTGAGACGAAAATTTGTTAAACTAAAAGTCTGCAAATACATTTTGAGGTTGAACTGTGAGTTTATTGATAAGTATGTCAATCATGAAGTTGATATAATTAGTCTTTTTGGATACCTCTGAGATTTTTTTTAACAAAAGAACTCAAGTAGTAAATCCTTGCAAAGCTCTTTTGAAAACTTAACAATACTTGAAAAGCTTCGAAGAATACCTACAAGCTATTCTGTTGGGATTAAAAAGAACCTAATTTTTGGAATAATTCAGTATATTTACTAAAAGTTAAGTAGTGCAAATTACTTCTGGATTTTATCAGACGTCTTTTCCTCTTTAGAAGTTTACATGTAAATTTCATTCATGTGTAAACTATGTAATCTCAAACTATTTAATCAGTGTTTTGATTGATTGTTAAAGATCTCAAAAACCAGGCCTAGTTTAAAATAATACTAATCGTGCAACTTTTAAACGGTGACCGCCATTTTGAAATTTTAGATAGTATCAAAGTAACTTGTTTTCTAAGATCGGTCTATTTTACCATACATACAATGTTCCATAAAAATCGGTTGAAACAATTGAAAGATAAAAATGGTAAAAAATACCAAATAGTGTATATCTAATTAACGAAGCGAATTTTTTAATTTTTTATTTTTTATTCTTGACTAGCTGGCCCGACAGACGTCGTCCTGTCCTAATGTGGTTTTATGTCAAATGCTCGTTCATTTTCAAGATGAGCTCGTTCACATGGCTCAATCACGTCATTGTTGAAGTTCGTTCGCTACGCTCACTCACCTTTATGTTGGAGCTCGTTCGCTGCGCTCACTTGCCTTTAGGTTAGCTCATTCGCTACGCTAACTCGCCTCCAGGTTGAAGTTCGTTCACTACGCTCACTCACCTTTTGGTTGCAAATTAGCTGTTGTCATAAAAATAATAATAGTGCTGCACCCTGTTGGTAAATCTATAAAATTTTTAATGCAATTGAACATCACAGAATCAAATTGTTTAGTTAAACCATAGATAAAACATACTCTTGTTAGTCTATGGTTAAACCAGCTGTTAAGATTCTTTAATTCCATTTATGTGAGTACTCATAAGGTTAACATGGGAAACTCCAGAGCCACTGGGGCGGAGCCCTTTTGACGGATCTGCACCAAACTTCACACAAACCATCCTTGAATAATGCTTAATAATGCCTAAAAGTTTCATTACAATCTGTCCAGAGGTTTCGGAGTCCATAAAGGACAAACAAACAAACAAACCTACATTGGATTTTATATATAGAGATTTTCTCTTTATTTTAACTCAAGAGACCACTACGTAAATTATGTTTCAATCCTAAACACAATGTATATACGAAAATACTCAAGTTTCGAATTTCTTCATACATTTTCCCACGGCACTAAGTAATTACTCAATCACTAACGGGATTTAATTCCCTTTGTGAGGCTTGCTAAAGACTGCTCCAGATATACAATTACCCGATATCATCTCCATATACAGCTGTTACAGGTCTGTTTTGGAAATGCCCCCTCCCCCCTGAGATGCCCTTTCCGATACCTCCACGACTTCTCACTCCTCGTTTGCTCGTTATTCGTCCTCGTTTCCCAACGTCGGTCGTTCCTGACGGTAGATTACTTGGTTACCATTGTAAACGAGAGCAATACCATTGTTACCAGTAAATGTTGCATCGTGCACGGGATGGGTAAAGGAAACTGTGGTAACCTATAAAGGTTTGGAGTTTGTAGAGGTTTTGGTTACTCACGATGGTCGATGAATCGGAATTTGAGTCTCAGGGTTGACGGGTTCGTTTGAAATATTACGATTTATATTTTATCAGTACAGTTCACCTTCGTACTGTACCGGCTCACTCATGGCTTTGCTATGCCATGTATTCGTGCTTCATGTGCATGTATGTGTGTGTATGTATTCGTGCATGTATGTGCTTTGTATTCGTGGTTTCATGTTCCACGCACAGATCTGTAGTCTTATGTGGACAGGCAAATGCAAGGTTAAAAGAGGCCGCCAACATCTTAAAAAACTTTTACTGAATCGTTTAATCGTTTGACACCTTTCTTGGTATATTTTTTGGCATAGTGTTTGGACACATATAACATTTATCAGTACGAACAGCTCGATTCGAATAAACTCAAAAATGTTTACGAAAATTTAACATTCGACTTCAAATTCTAACATTGTAGGCTACTCTTTCTTAGGTGGTGACTCAATTTTAAATCAATCGCAGGAATTTTCTTCTGATCGTAACTGTTTAATAATACGTGGATGGACGGAAAAGACTAGCCATTGATGAAAGCTAAAATAAATTAAATTATCATTCTGGTTTAACTCTTCATAGTAGCTTAGTAGTTCTTAAACAATTCTTTGTCAATTCAAAAATTGTGAACACGTAATGGATTTCGACTTCATTTTTTACTATTAAATTACATAAACATATTAATACATACCGCCTAGAGGTCTATAATTTTAAATCGGGTTAACCTTGTATGTGCAGAGGCAACAAAGATTTAAATTAAACGGCGGACTAAATCTTTTAAATATTTTGCTCACACTGCAGCAAAACCTGGATATTTTCGATGGCTGAAGAGTTATTTCTTATCCTTTCTCTAAAGAATAATCAGCTGGAGCCGAGGGAAAATATGTACATTTTTTTCACTGGTAAACTAATTGTTAAAAATTGAATGTTTCGAGAGTAGTTTTCAAATACCATAGTGCGTGTAGTGTGAAATTATATTTGTACTTCTTGTTACATTTAATCTACGAGAAGACGTTCTCGGTAAGGAATATCGTGTTAAAATCACCTACAAACATCTAACAAAATAGAAACCAAACCGTACCCAACCATCCACAACGGTCAACACCTAATTTAGATCTTAAATCAAACCCCGGTAAACCAAGCCCATAATGATACATTTAAATAAAAGTTGGTTCCGGAACCCCAGCGTTTACCGTGGAATGTACAGGTAAGTATATGGATCTCCGCACAGTAGCCAACTAATCACCCCCGGCTGGTCGGGTATTATTCAAATTGTGCCTGAACATTATCATTGTGGGCCACGTTGTGGATACAGCAACAACACTATCGGGCAGAGGATCATGGGAACTGCTCCGGGTTCTCATTACTCCTGGTTTGCTTTGCTTTCACATTCCGCTGACTCATCCTAGGTGCGAGAGTGACATCTTGATCTGACGCTGTGATTGTCAGTGGCGAATAGGAGGTGTCTCTGTAGAAGGATTTGAGTGAGAAGAATTTTAGTTACGTTTGGATCTTATCGGTTGTATTGGTGAAGGTTCTCTTCGTGGTTTAGCTGAAGGAGTTATGGACTGAGTGACATAAAGCATTTTCGTTGAGTGACCCTATGTTCTTGTCAGTCGATGTGTTGGTTTAAGTTCTTTCCATGGTGTAGCTCCGGGAGTTATGGTTTGGGCATGAGTGACATCAAGAACTTTCGTTGAGTTACGTTTGAATCTTTCAGTCAAATGTTGGTTTAGGCTCTCTTCATGGTTTAGCTTCGGGACTTATGGTTTGGGCATGAGTGACATCAAGAACTTTCGTTGAGTGACTTTTCAGTCAAATGTTGGTTTAGGCTCTTTCCATGGTTTAGCTTCGGGAGGTATGGTTTGAGTAACATCAAGCATTTTTGTTGAGTGACGTTTGGATCTTTCAGTCGAAATGTTGGTTTAGGTTCTCTCCATGGTTTAGCTTCAGGAGGTATGGTTTGAGTGACATCAAGAATTTTCGTCGAGTGACGTTTGGATCTTTCAGTCAAAATGTGGGTTGAGGTTCTCTCCATGGTTTAGCTTCGGGAAGTATGGTTTGAGTGACATCAAGAATTTTCGTCGAGTGACGTTTGGATCTTTCAGTCGAAATGCTTGATGTTGGTAGATTCTCTCCATGGTTTGGATCCAAGAGTTTGGTTTGAGTGATATCAATAATTTTTTTTAGTGGCATTTGGATATGGTCAGTTGCAATATTAGTAGAGGTTATTTCCATTGCATAGTTCCTAGTATTTGAATGACATTTGAATAAAAGCTACGAGTAGATCTGTCGTTGGCTGATATTTTGATTTAGTCTCATGTAATACTGGTTGCTGGAAGAATTTCTCTCCATGGTAGAGTTTCAGGAGTTAAAAATGTGTTTGGCACAAGAAAAATAGGAATAAGAAAAATAGGAAAAGAACACTGGTTGAAGTCCTGACTGTTATGCAATTTAGATTTTGGAATTAGAATACTCCTCCTCCATATGTGTTTTTTGGGAATGAAAAATAATTGTATAACAATTTTATTTTTACTGTTTAGTGTGTGCATTACTGATATTTATTCAATATATTTTCTACTTGTGTTACAGGTGGGAGGTTCTGCTCATTCTCGCCCTGTATAGAGCAGGTACAGAAGACCTGCCAGAGGCTGCAGACAGCTGGCTTCACGGATATCCTCACCATGGAGTGTCTTCGGCGGGAGTACAGCGTCCAGAACAGATCTTTCCCGTTGGAGAGGACTGACAATGTAATGCCAACATAAAACATAATATTTTGTATTGTTACAGTAGAATAGCTATCATCTGATCTTCGGATATTCGATCCTTCCTGTAGAAGTGAAGTGGAATCACGTGATTTTTTAGTGTGGGACCGCACCTCGAAGTGGATCTAGTCAGTCCCTTGGGAACCGGAGTTTTGCCAACGGGTGTCAGGTAGATGGGGGGATGCCTTCGGCCACCTCTTGGTGCGGAGATTTGCCAACGGTGGTGGTGGGAGAAAGAGTGTGACGGAGGGAGGGAGAGCGATTGTCAGGGTTGTCTACGCTTGGCAGTTATGCGCTTGTCGCAGTGCGTTAGGTTAGGTTAGGTTAGGTTAGGTTAGGTTAGGTTAGGTTAGGTTAGGTTAGGTTAGGTTAGGTTAGGTTAGGTAAGGTTAGGTTAGGTTAGGTTAAAAATTCAATACATTTCCTTTCACAGTCAGAGGTGCATAACTCCATTACTTTGAACACAGTCAGCATCCTGCCTGATTTGTCCACCCCTAGCGGAAGCCACCCTCACGGTCACGTGTAATCTCTCTCTCTCCCCCTACCTCTCTCGCGCAACCCACAACCGTTGGCAAAACTCCGCAGTATGTGGAATTCATGGATGGGGACCCTTTCTACCTGATACCCGTTGGCAAAACTCCTACACTCCAGTCCCTTTGGTCACCCCAGTCTGTGTTTGAAAGATACGAGTCTTTAGACACCTGAATTTGACTGTACTCAACGTGCTGCGTACCTTATATTCCGTAAATTAATCATAGAGTGTAACAAAGCTTTTATTTGGATTGTCATCCATTGATTTGTCACTACTATCTTCTTTGCTAACGTTTGGGATTTCGGCTGTGCCTCATTAACGTTACTGGTGGATTACTGAGTGCCGTCTAAAAATACATTCTTGCAAGATAGTGGGTGTCTCTCTAAAATAAAGTGTCAAAAAGATAAAATATCATTTATCATCATTTATAATGCAACATCTTTTTAACTTTCCAGCTTTGATATCTAGTTTTACATATACGATTATATTTATTCTATATGAACATTATTTTGCATTGCACGAATTGTGTGGGTCATGTCGATGTCACATACAGTATTACTTGCTGAATCCCAGCTATTGAATTTAAAAATTCATTCATGGTTCAATTCATTAATTGAACCATTGCAATTATACCTTAACTATTACGAAAACTATAATTGCTTGCATTTTATTATTTTAATAATAAGATTAAACCATACTAAGTGCCTACAATAGGCAGAACCGTTCTCGTTTTGTATGGAAACTTGCCCCGCTTATACTGAAGGCGTTGTTATAATGCCTCTCAATCAATGTTTATAATTCGTTCTCTATACAGTAGAACCTCGATAACCAGTCACTCATGGGGATTATTAAAGGATGAATTTTTATCGAGTTTTGCAATAACATTTAATTAAGTGTAATATAAAATTGAGGCTATTTGAAAATGACACTTGTAATCAAGAGCCACTTGATCGAGGGTCTTGTTATTAAGGTTCCACTGGATTTACATTTTTCTACTCAATCTAGCCTATAAATTGTGTTTCTAATTTGACTTTCTCGTAGTTGAATCTTTTTAATCCTTTAAATATATAGGCTACTTTACTTCAAACATCTTTACTTCTCACTTTAAACTTCTTTCCTCCTGACTTCACTCCGAATTTTTGTTTGACTTCTTCTCAACTTCTAGCGTCCTTGCTATCAAAATTCATGTTGCTAACTCAATGGTTTCAGTATGAGATTTAGGTGTTCAATACCTATGTTCACAATTGTCATGGGTTTTAAACCTCTTCACATCAAGTGTGCTGTATTAACAAATTCCACTGTCCAAAAAGTAGAAAAAATTATATTCTTTGCTGCATCTACATAGAACATATTTATTTTCTCAGAGTGACTCCACAGCCAAAGTTCAGACATTACCGTGTATGGTGCTACCAGCCTCCTTGCCTGGGCACACCGGGTACCTCACCTTCGCCTCTCTGCCGCCCCTCTGGGCAAGGGTGTCCGCCCCATCGGACACAGCCCTGGACACTACCACCCCCGAGGTGGAGTTGCAGACGACGTGACAATAAATGCTGTTATATTGACTTGTTGTCTCCTTCTAACCTGTGTTTTTATGACCTTTGAGATAATATGGCTGTAAGAACGAGAGTGGTTGATAGAAGCGAGGGGAGGGGGCAAAGATAGGGAGGAAGAGACACCTCGGCACCTAACCTAACCAAACCTAACTTAAAGGAAAAATTGGCTTGTAGCTTCTGAGCGAATGCGCAAAAAACCTCTTTTAAATTAGTAATATACCTTGTGATTCATTATTGTGTCAAAATACCTAAATTGATGTCCCAAAGTACTAAGAAACACATTACCGTCCTCAACCGCCCCGTGTCAAGCCATTAAGCATCCTAACAAATTCTGACATTATATTCCCACCTGATGACAATCTATGGGCCCGCGCAACGTTGTCAGGGATAAGATAATCCTTGTTTTGAAATCATCGATAAAATGGTTACTCATCTAATCCATGGTACTACATGGAGATATACTTTGCTTATGAGGATTGAAAACTCATCTTTGCTTTGATGGATAACAGATTTCTTTGGGGTGGGATAAGACCCTTAAAAATGAACTCTGGTGTTAGGCGAATGAATTATCACTAGCTCCTCTTATCTTTTCTTCCATTTAGTTCACTTACCGATTACTTCAGTGCACATCTAGCAAGCAATTCTTTTACTGAAACCTCTCGAACCCTATTAGACCGTATTTAAAGCCACTAAGTCATAAATAATTTAGCAAATTACTTCTCGAATTGTACATCCCTAGTTGACTCGCATGTTCGGTTTTGTGTTTGTCCGGATAATCAAACAGTGCATAATTAGCGCGGTGAGTTATGACGGCCATTACAGGCGGTCCATAACTTATCGGTAATTCGAGAAAGGTAATGTGCTGTCAAAACAATACACCCATAAATTGCGGGGGAGCGTTAAACTGAGAAGAGCTGCCTGCGCGGACATACGTCAGTCTCGGTCAGCGAAATTTGATGGTAAAGTCTAAGAGTTGTTTTACAGGACATTTAAAAAATATGCTTTCAGCACCTGTTTTTGTGAAGTAAAATAACTTGCTGTCTGTTTACTGGTTATTCACGTTTTGAAATAACTTAAAGCCCAATTTCTGTGTCACTTGGATAAGCTTATCAGGATCAAATATGTACTGTAGATTTCTAATATTTCAATGTTTAAATTCTTAAAGTTTTTGAATAAAAGAATTTAGTTCGGTTTAGCGATAGACCGAGATGCTGTTTCTACAGTTTCAAGTGTTTCTATATTTCAAGCAAAATTTGAAAATTTCAAAAATTGAGGTGATTGGATTGTTTATTGGTTCTAGAGGAACATTATCAAAATTTTTTGTGAACTTTTGGAAACAATATGATTTGGACAGATCCTTTTTGAAAATTATTATTCATGAAACATTAAGAGGTTCATTGACCATAATGAGAAATCATCTATATGGCAAACATCAAAATTAATCAGTCTTATAGCTGTATAATCCTTACATATTTTATGTGTACTATTTTTCTGTGTCATTGGCAACCTTATTGTTTAAGGCAGAGGTATTTATTTTTATAAATAAATTCTTTTCTCTCTTCTACATACCAACCTTTAATTGATATGAACCGTTGTATCTTTTACTAGCTGGCCCGACAGACGTCGTCCTGTCCTATTGTGGTTTTATGTCACATGCTCGTTCATTTTCAAGATGAGCTCGTTCGCATGGCTTAAGGGTCCGCCCTACCTCTGCCGTTTTGTGCAAACGCAAGGGGCTGGTGCAACTGAGTTACCGAAGGCTACATTTAACGTAGAATCAAAATAAGGGTGTCATTTTGAAGATGATAAAATTATCTAAATTATTGTAGTTTCAATATGTTAACTATTGTACCATGAAGCCTGGAAATATTCTTTTGAATGTTTACGAAAAATGGCAATTTTAAACTGCTGTAACTTATTATAGAATCGTTACTTTAAAAATGTGAAACTAGAATCACTTAGATTGTTCTTTGTTCTTTAAAACACCGTTTGTTGTTTTTCACTAGCATGTTTGGGTAGCTTACAAAGTCAGTTACCGTGAACCTCTGCAACTAGCAAATTTGAAGCCGTAACGTACCGAACCTTGCGGCCGCGAGTGGAACTACACGCGTACAGCCCCTCCACGGTCATATTGCTTCCCCTCCTCCAATTCTCTCTCAGCTCTCAGCTGAGAAAGCTTTCTGCACTGACTATATAATACCTACCGTAATTCTGCTGTACCCACAACACACACAACTATTTGGGCTCATCGATGTATACATCGATGTTTTGGCTACACTAAATTGGCTACACTGTTGTTAAATACACATTTCAGTTTAATGAACGAATCTTTTTTATACAGATACTAGCATAATACCCGCCCGTTGTTAAATAAACATGTCAGTTTATTGAACGAATCCTTTTTACATAGATACTAGCAGAATACCCGCCCTTTATACGGGGTTGGTGTACGTTTTCAATGGGGGAGGACACGGTTTTAGAATTTTTTTGTTCCTTTAATGTACGGCATGCTATAGTTACCACATCTACCATAGCAAAAATGGTCTATCACCATATGGAGCTCATCATACAAAATTTAAGACCAACCCGACCAGTAAGTAGGTAATGCGTGATGAACTTCAAACAAACAAACGCACAAAATTTCACATGTATAATATTTGTAAGATAATAATCTAGTTTGTATGAGAAAGTAGATTAAGATGAACTATGAACGATGAACTTCAAACAAACAAACGCACAAAATTTTACATGTATAATATTTGTAAGATAATAATCTAGTTTGTATGAGAAAGTAGATTAAGATGAACTATGAACGTACCACAACACGTATAATGGTTCTAATGCTGTACCGGTAACGATTCGCTCAAAACTAAAACTAAATTGATAATAAGATGAAAAGTATTTTATTTATATCATTATAACTAGCAGAGTACCCGTCCTTCGTACGGGGTTGGCATGTAAGTATAAAGTGACATTAGCGTACGGTTTGACAGCTCCATTTAAGTAATGTTAAATAATGTTTACATTCAGGATAGTGACATCATTATTTTAAATATGATCCTTACCCTCTCTGATCTAATATTCATGCAGTATTTAAATGAATGTTTGAACCAGCTGTATGGAATTGTGAAATCAAAATTAATTTGACAGTTAGTACTGCTTGTTTACATTTTTAAACTTTGTAGGTTTGTTCTTTGTTGTCATGGATACCATCAATCAAAATTTACTTTGAAATCTCTCACCTCCGATTTTTGAAAGCCCGCGGGGCATAGCCCTAGGACAATATTGAAGCGGGAATAGTTCTATATGTATCCTCGGAACTGTAGCTTCATGTGTGTGCAATTTGAGCCCAATAGGTTCAGTAGTTTTTGAGATTAGCTCATACAAACACACACACAGACACCACCTCTTCTTTATAATAGTATAGATTGTTTGTATAGAGTATAGCAATAAGTATGACTGACTAGGCCGATGGTTTGCTACCTATGTACTACCAGTACTGTACAACTCAGGATGGCTAGTGTAGTCCACCACTCTAGAGCGGTGGAGGTTGATGATCAGCTGTTGTGAGACTGGGGTGGAACACCCCCGCAGGCAACATTGGACGCGCCCACGAAGGCCGCGCGATAGGGCTTTCTGCTATACTAGCATCCATCACCAGCACACGTGCACAGTCTCATTCTGCTATAATATCGTTTGTAATATTCTTTTATAGTATTGTAAGTTCTGTTATCTAGAAAAGACAGGTGCATTCGTACTGCAAGTTCCTTTGTATAGTTATTTATTTGAAATGCCTCATCCTCGAAAAAAAAAAGGTCGCTCAGTTTCCGTCAAATGTAAAAGGCGAACTGGAAAAAACCTTGGACATTGGGCAATAAAGAAAGGCGCCAGAAAATTGTGGTAAGTAAGGATTATTTTTTTGTGAATTTTTAACTTGCATAAATAGGCATTAGTAACGTTTAAACAATTAATATGGTAATGGAATAGCTAGCTATTTACATTGAGCTATTTTATACTTCATATAAATGAAACCTTGTTGTATTGTTTGAAAATCTAGTACTGTGTTTTACTATTGCAGATATTATCATTTTCTCAATAATTATAATAGTTGATTCTAAATCAAATATGTTTAATTAATTTTGCAGTGGAATTGAAAATGACGTGAACGCCAGTGAGCCTTCGACTATTCCACAAAGTGTAGGGGGTAACACGTCTATAACATTGGATGTTGTCACAGAACCTTCTGCATCATCGAAGTTGACGAATTTGTAAGTATAGATAAAGACATTGATGTACAGTCTTTTTTAAAAATCTTTCTTCAGTTTGAAATGTAAACATCATGCAACAATATTTCATATTAAACACCCCAACGAACTATTGCCTGGTCTGAAGGAATTGTAACTGCTATTTGTTATCATTAGACTTATGCTATTTAGAATAAATTGTAAATCAAATCAGGCAAATGGAAATTCGCTTAGATAGCAGGAAGGTTTAGGATAGGTTTACTGTTGAGGGGGGGGGGGGTAGTTACTCTTTTCTCATTATTTTTTTGTTTTTATTCATTACCAAAACCACGCACAAGGTCAAATGGGTCTACCAAACTTATTGCTAACGTACGAAATTTAAACTTACAAATAATACTCTACAGCACCAAAGGATAAAATTAATTTAAACTAATACTATTGTGAGGTATTGCTAGGCTGTTCTTTTTCGGACTCCCGGTTCGTGACTTTTATTGAATATTGAATACTACCAATAATAATGTACGGTCAAAAATTAACAAGCTTCTCCTCACTTATTTTAGGTCCCAAGGTCAAGAAGAAGAACTTTGTCATGTTAACACGACGGATTTTATGGATTGTTCCGACTATGACTGCACGCAAGGAATTACAACTAGCACACCAAAATTGTAAGTAGTGTAAATTAATTCAAAATCGAAGTACCTACTACATTACTGCTATCCCAATATTTTTTTAATGACGTATTTCTATTCATTGTAAGTTATATAAAAAACAAAGAAACATCAAAGGCATCCAAAACATAACTTGGTCTAGATTGGTAAACAAAAGGTAGAATAAGATTAAAATATTTAATAATTTTTTTTAAATTTCTCCTTAGAAATATTTGATTATTATTATAGTTTGATGTTTTTATTTCTAACAGGTGCAAAGTACCTCTCACACAGCAAAGCACATCGCTCAACGGTGCCGAATATTCATCAGCCGCAATAGATTTAGATGTTGAGAGTGATGAGTCCGACTGGTTGGAAGGTGTTCCAGTTCCGATAGACACAGAGGACACGTGAGTTTTCAAATAACACTTATAAATGTATAACTCTGACTTATATTTACTCCAACAACTTTATATGAAAATAACCCTACGAGTAGGTTCCATAATTAATCAAAAAGCATTACTGTATATACTAAGTTGACCGTATTTCCACTTGGTTATGAATGATGTATATTGTTCGGCCGCCATCTTGGATCCGCCATTTTGAAATGTGATAAATTATTTTAAATATAAAAGGGGTGTTGTGACCCATCATTTCGGATTACTTTTATAAGCTGAACTCAATTCCATGGTCCATTTTTTATTTTCACATTTTGATTTTGAAATATTAACATTTTTAACAAAAATATTGCAATGTTTCATAAATAAAACTTGATAACGAAAAATGGATTGCGGCATTGAGTTTAGCTTGAAAAAGTAGTTCAAAATGATGGGTCACAACCCACCCTTCATGTTTAAAATAGTTTATCCCATTTCCAAATGGCGGATCCAAGATGGCGGCCGAAAAAATACATCAGTCATAAATAAGTGAAAATAGGTTTACAATAACTGATAGTGTATACATATCTTTATCTAGCACTATTTTGAGATTATGGTCTTAGTTTGTAAATGCACAATGTTAAAATGGGCTAAAAATAAAGTTTTAAAAAGGCCTCATAACTTTAGAATGAATCAAGATTTTTAAAAACGGTTTGCGGCATTGTAATCAGGTTACAAATCTAGTTTGAAATAATGGGTCACAACTCCACCTTTACATTTGAAAAAAATATTTTGCATCCAATATGGCGGATCCAAGATGGCGGCCGGAAATTAACACCTTGTCAAAATGAAGTACTTACAACTCAACAATGTTTGGAAGTGGTCTGGGATTGATATTTGAAAATATGTAGAAAAAAGGTGGGGGGGGGGGACAATTATAACTCACCCTGTATATATATATATATGTGTTATGAAGCAAATACATGAGGAAAATAAAATACATTGTTGAATTCAGTATGTCACAGTTTGTACATTTCTTGTACATTATTGTGCTAGTGGTGATAGTTGCTTTTTATGTGTGTACAGGAATCCTAACAATGACAATTCAACGACGGATACTACAGTAAGTCCAGTACTCATAACTGGACGAAGATTGGTTGATATCTCTTTCTTTCTGACATCCATCCAGCAATGTGGAAAACACAGTCCTTTTGACTGTTCATTTTCTGATATGTACATTTGCAATGAAAAACAAATTGGAATGATTTTTGAATATACATTGATCTGCAAAATGTGCAACAAAAAAGAAAAGATTAGAACAGAAGACAGTTCACATACAAACGAAAAGTTAAATGTGAACACAGCCATGGTGAGTGATAAACTGAGTACCAGAGTACCATTATTTGTTTCACATTTTCATCTTTTTAGATCTTGTTTTTTAGCGAATTTCCCATAAAGGGAATAACCTGTTACCGCAGGTCTCATGGTTAGACAACATTTTATAATTTCTCTCCAAAGCATTTTGTAGAGTTTAAAAAAACCATAACTGTTGTATGTTGAAGCGTTGTTGTATGCCCAACGTTTACGGAGATAATACAAAAAAAATTAAATTTGAAATTACCATGTCATACTTATGGAGAATTAACGAACTGTTGTAGTTTGCTTGTTTATAATATTGTAATAATTGTTGAGTACGAGGTTTAAAATGTTTAAGTATCAAATGTCAGGTTAATAATACGTTTAATAACGAGTTGTTAAAATTATACTTATTCTGTTTTGGATTTTTTACTGGATTAGTGTGATTAAATAATGGCTGTAAATAGCCTTTTCCGGAACGTATAATTAACAACGATATTATCAAATTGGAAGTGGCATTTATAAGTGGTACTATGTTTCAGGTCTCTGCTGTTACCAACATTGGCCAAAATTACTCCCAACTGGAAGAATTATGTTGTTGTCTTGATATGCCATGCATGTCACAAAAAACGTACGCTAGACATCAACAGCTTGTCGATTCTGCTATCCACGACTGTACTTGGGAGAGCTTGGAGGAAGCAGCACGTGAAGAGGCAGAGTTAGCTGAAGCTGCTGGCTGTGTCGACAGCGAAGGAGTACCAGAGATAACGGTCATTATTGATGGGGCTTGGTGTAAGCGTTCCTACAGGACCAACTACAATGCTTTATCAGGCGTGGTAAGCTGTGTCCTATTGTTATTACATTGTTTTCTACACATTTCTAGTTTTTTTCATATATAAACATTTGTTCATATCTCGTGCATCTTTTTTGGACGAATGTTACCCACCAGCTTTTCAAGCCAAATACTGTGCCGTACTCCATATCATGATATGTTTGTATATACTGTAAACATGATGCAATAAAATATCCAAGCTTAAATTATGATTTCATGTGACGAAAGTTTGTGTTTGACTTTTAATACTATTTTTGTTTTGTTTTAGGGTTGTATCATTGGCATGAAAACCAAAAAAATACTGTACATTGGAGTTAGAAACTCATATTGCTGCATATGTGCTAGAGCTAAAGGCAAACAATTGACTCCACCTGAGCATGTGTGCTATAAAAATTGGTCAAAGACGTCTACTGCCATGGAAAGCGACATCATTGTGGAAGGCTTTAAAAAAAGCAAAGAAATGTATAATCTGAAGTACGTGAACGTGATCGGTAAGTGCATTGTTTACCGTTACTAACGTTTGTGATACATTGTAGATTGAAGGGATTGATAGAAGTAGGATTGCAATTTAATAAGTAAATTCTGTTATTTCAATAATAATACGCTTCACTGTGCAGTTTTGGTTTAGAAAATCACCCCATAATGTGGAGAAAAGGTAGATATTAAAAATATAGAATACAAAAGCCATTTCTTCGGACAGTGGTAAGAATAAATTCTGTAAAATGGTTGATTAAAACCTGATCTGACACTTTTTAACAACAATATAATTTACCTGTAAACACTGGATATTAAAACTATCACATTCAAAACTTGGATATTGTAAACTATTAACTTTAGGCAGGAATATTTCTTAATTAATACAAACATTCCTTTAGGAGATGGCGACAGCAGTGTCATGACAAAGTTAGTTGAAACTCAACCTTATGGGCCTTCAACAACGATTACCAAAATAGAATGCACTAACCATTTGTTGAGAAATTACGTAAAGAAATTGCGAGAGGTTGGGGACCAGAAACGCAACGAAGTTGGACCTGTTCCTGGAGAACTGAGGAACAAAGTGAAAACTAATCTCCTAAGACTGAGGTATGTGTGTGTTCTTTATAAATACAAACTTGTGAGTAATAAGTTTAAACAGCTTACTTACTATACTTAGCCTGACACAAACATCCAAGGAGCAACTATATACTCAAGAACTATTGTCATGTAAAAACGGGTGAAACATAAGCAGTGATTGATATTTTTGGAATGTTGTGCCTGTGGCTCAGAAATAATGACTTCTTCTAATTGACGTAATCCCTAAGTTGTCAATAGGCTATCCATAATATTTATTACAATAATATTAACAATCTTTTCTTAACACGCCAATTCAATTGACGGTATTAATAAACTCACTTTAACCAATGATAAATATTTCAACTTCCAGATATGCAGTAACTGGTGCAGTTAAACATGCAAAATCTAAGGAAGACATACCAGTGCATGAGAGAGTCAGGCAACTGAAGGAGGACATAGCAAACGGCCCTCGGCATGTATTTGGGGACCATTCTAATTGCAAAACCTACTTTTGCTCTGGCCCCAAAGAGAGAGAATTAAATGTAGTAGGAGAATTGAAGACATACGGTTTGTGGAACCATATAATGGCTGCCAACAGTTACCTTAACTTTTTTTCATTCTCTCTTCTTCAATGCGTAACTACCAATCTAGCCGAGTGTTACAATGCTCTAGTTTGCAAATTTGTGGCAGGAAAAAGAGTTAACATGTCACAAAGAAACTCTTACAACACCAGAAGTGAGATGTCAGCACTCTCAATGAATATGAAGGAAGAAGCACTTCGCAAACTTTATAAAAAGATGACATTTGGTGTCAGTCCAGGGAAATATTCAAAGTTAATTAGCTCACGAAAACAAAAGAAGAGATTGAAACCAAAAAAAAAAGTGATTGGTAAGTCAAAGAGAAACACTTGCCTTTTCCCCGACGCGGATTATGGAGACACTGAGACCACTCCTGACCTTGATGACGACCAGTTTCAGACTAGGAAAAATGAGCTTTTGCATTCTCTTGAGATGAATGAAGAAAAGAGATTACAGCTAGAGAGAAATTCGAGAGGTAACAATATTAATAATAATAAATCATTTTTCTCTCATTCACATTTGCCTAAAAATAACCCTTACAGGGGTTGGTATCTTAATTGGTAGGCAATGTAATTGTTGTATTTTCTAGGTCAAAGCCTGTGTGATTTATGGGTAAAAGAGAGAAAAAAAAGGATCACTGCATCAAATTTTGGAAGGATTTGTAAAATGCGCTCAACAACGTCCTGTCAGAAGTTGGTTGAGCAACTATTGTACAAGCAATTTTCAGGAAATTCCGCAACAAGGTAAGTTAAATCAGATATAAACCAATGTTAATCCTTATGCATATACATACAGTATATAATACGTGAAGGTGATTAATAAGATACACTACTCCTACACTAGGTACAGCGAGACGCGGTCCCTACTTTACAATTGCTCGGATTCGAGCAACAGGTGCACTATTCTAATCTAAAGGTTATCTATGGGATTTAAGAAAAAATTGCTATACAAACTAAAAGTTTCGCCTCCCTTACAACATTACAATTTAAAAACAATATTTTATATTAACTTTAAAATGGGTAATTTGTACTAACAAGAACATACTATTAAATATAAATGCATTATTATATTGTCATCAATGACGTGGGTACAAGCAATTAGTGTTAGATTTTTGATAATAATAAACCAGAATTCCCACTAAAAATGAAAACAAATGTAATTAGTTCCAATTTTGGGAATAAATTAATTGTTGTGCTTCAGATACGGCTTGGAAAATGAAAAGCATGCAATCGCAGAACTAGAGGAACTGATTCTTGAGAAGGTGGAAGAGTGTGGCCTATTCGTTGACAGGATGCAGCCATTTCTTGCCGCTTCACCCGATGGTGTAATGGAGGGCTTGGGTTTAGTAGAGGTGGGTAAACTTGTATATTTATTATTTATACTCAATCGCCCAAAAACATTAAATTTGTAACGCATTACCTTGTGCATTTACGTTTCCAAAAGAGAAGAAATACTAAACTGTTGTAATATTTATCATTCCAGATAACATATTTATTCTAAAACGTTAAAAATAAATTAGTCAACAAAACAAACATGTGTGAACTAAAGTAATTTCGCCAACAGCATCGTACGTTTGAAATTTATAACTATAACAATTTACAATTCATTGTTGTGGTAGGCCTGCTTTAAAATACTAATAATTGAGTCGTGTATTTCATTTAACTAAATCAAATTTTGGGTGTGATTTGCAATACTGTACCAGAATTTTGCTACATCATCTGTATTTTGTTTTACAGGTCAAATGTCCTGCATCAGCTAAAGACCTGACGCCAGCTGATGCAGTTGTTGAAAAGAAAATAAAGTTTTGTGTGCTGGATGAAGAAAGGAATCTAAAATTAAAACGGAGCCATTCCTACTACTACCAAATCCAGGGACAGCTCCACATAACACAACAAAAAAATTGTTGGTTTTTGGTGTGGACTAACAAAGGCATGTCCATAGAGAAAATCGTGAGGGACGACCAGTTTTGGGAAAGCAAAATGGAAAAACCCCTGACTAATTTTTATTTCAAATGTGTATTGCCAGAGCTGATCGACCCAAGACACCCTCGGGGACTCCCAATAAGGGATAGGTTTTGAAAAGTTTTGTCGACGAAAAAACTGATAAATTATTGTAATTATTTAATAATTTGTAAATGAAGGTAAATTATAAATAATTGAAATAAATTTTTTTTATTTCAACTGTTGTTTTTATATTTCAAAATATTGTACCTACCATAACTGGGTTTACTTATGGTACAGTAATCTGTTTACAGCCAAAATGCATTTACTGACAAAACCCAGTACTGTAGCCTACTTTAAATATTTATTTAGTATATGGATAAGCACGAGTGGTGAGTTTTGAAGCATTCCCGGCGCTCATTAGACCGCGCCTTGGCTCGCGGTGATTTGTGGAGTGGAAGTTGCACTAGTGGCAATGATAAAACAGTGAGTATGCCAGTGCGCGTGGGTAAAGCAGCGGCTACACTTACCCGATTCGGTCCGGTTCGGTCCGGTCCTCCAAAATGCGGAACAATGCTTCCCATGTTTTTAAATGGAGGCGGCTACACTTACCCGATTCGGTCCGGTACGGTCCGGTTCGGCGCGGAACAATCGTCCAGGAAGCATTCATCCGCATTTGGCGGAAGCATTCGGGGCGGACCGGACCGAATCGGACAAGTGTAGCCACCTACTCCCGAAATTCGGATGAGGATCGGGTGGTTCCGTGAGCACTCGGCTACGAAAGTGATGAATTAAATTAGGAAAAATAGTTATTTGTAGGACATAGGCCTAAGGATTTAGGCAATTATGTTCATATATTGACTCGATCATGGAAGACGATAATTATGTCTACACGACCGCGGAAAATAGTCTGAATTTTGCAACAATATTGGGAGACGATTGCAATGTCTACACGGCCGCGAGGGATTATAGGAAGTTTACCGCAATTTCATGCAAATACAACCACAATTTTTTTTTTCATTTTTTTGGCACCCCCCAAAAGAGCCAAGTGCCTCGCGCCCTAGGCACGTGCCTACCGTGCCTATTCGGTTAATCGGTCCTGACTAAAACTTTCTGTATTGCTGTACTTGTGCCCCGTGCTCGTGTGTGTCCTCCAAAATATCGTACAAATGTAGCTACCTCTTCCGGCCGGACCGAAACGATTCGTACAAGTGTAGCCACCCCTCTCAAATTCGGGCCGGACCGAAACGAACCGGACCGGACCGAATCGGGCAAGTGTAGCCGCTGCTTAAGCGGTTCCTCTCCTGCTGAGCGCCGCCGCCGCGCCGCTTTCTCATCCCCTCTCCCACTCACTCGGCCCCTCTCCCGCTCCCCTCCGTTGTGCAGCGCTCCAAGCGGCCGTTAGCTACATCGTGCTGAGATTTCCGACTCGGGGTCCGGCGGACCCCGTCCTGGTTGAAGTTCGTTCGCTACGCTCACTCACCTTTAGGTTGGAGCTCGTTCGCTGCGCTCACTTGCCTTCAGGTTAGCTCGTTCGCTACGCTAACTCGCCTCGAGTATAGGTGGTCCACATAGATGGGATATCTTCAAGTCAACGTCTTGTCCAAAATCTCAGTGGTGGACGGGAGTAAAATGAGAACGAATGGATGTTCTTTAGTACAGGCAAAGCGTTAGCATATGTAATCTTTGGTACAGGTAAACAGTACCTGTTAGTCATACTAGAATACTGTGTATTAACAATTTCAGGAAGCAAATAATAATATTTTAACCTTGTTGTTTCTTACCTTACGTGTTCTTGGTTATGGTTAGGGTTACGCGTACTTCTCAAGCTGACAAATACTTTCGTGTAAGTCTCTTCAAAGTCAATAAGCTACCTAAGGGAGATGCTGAGGATGTTGTGCTGTCAACACGATCTCTAAAACCCACCACCATGATACATAAACATCATCAAAACTATTACTGTTGAATGAGGGCGAGAATAAACTCCTTGCAAGAAGGCTTACGTGGCATAATGTTTGCAATCATTTCCTCAATTTACTTTTCATGTCAATAATAATAATTGAAAAATGATTGTATGTTGGCTTCTAATCCCTGGATGGGACACAGACTGTTGCTTCTACGACCAAGTCTATAATAAACGGCAAGTGTAATTAAACTTATTACTAGGAAATGATAATCTTGAAACAATCGAAACTAATCAATAATAATAGTCTCAACCATTGACTATACATATGCAATTAACATGATTAATTTATAAATAATCAATGTCTCAACTAATCAATGATAACATTCATTATGAAGTCTCCACTGGAGCCTCTTCGGCATTTGAAGAAACGTAAACAAACTGTACAACTTACCCATTTTTATTTTCACTAGCTTCCCAAATCTGTTATTTTAATGAGTTTTCGACCCATCTAAAATTGAGTCGCGATCCCAGACGTTTTTGATTTTTACTTAAGTTTCTGTGGGCTCCTGACACATACACTAGATATGGACGTCAAATATTCAAATGGTCTCTGAACAACTCGAACTCAACCCGTTGATCGTATTGGATGGTCATAGTTTAGATGAGGTCCTGAAAATTCTACCTGAACTCTCATACCTGGCAACTGGCAACCAAACCAAATGGGTAACACAAAAATTATGTTTTGATGAATTTTGAACGACTTATAATAAACCCTCAACCCTGGTTTTCGGATACCTTAACCAAACTATCAAGGCAAGGGTCTTTGAACAGTTTAGTCATAATCTCTCCATCCTTCATGATGGTCATCATAACTATTCTTTGAATGATGTATGCAACAGCTTTGACTTAACCCTGGACGATATCCCCAAAACGTTGTTTTGACGTGTTCTTGAACAACTCTTAAGCCCTCAATCCAAGATGATAATCATAAATACTACGAGTGTTTTGTGTGAGTTCTAAGATTTTGAAATACCCGATCGACCCTCTACGAGAGTCAGTGGTCGAATATAGCAAAACAGCCACTATCCTATAGAGACAGGATAGCAAAACTAATACTTGAACGAATCGGCCGATGATCATCATCATGACCTAATTACTTCTAGAACTCCCACCCTGGAGGATACTTGTGATCTCTACTAATGTTTAAATGAATTGACCCATGATCATAACCATCGTCCTCTTGACTTGACACCCTTGGACATCCTCCATGACGGCACAGTGACATCCCAACCCTCGCACCGATGAACATCCTCCATGACGTCACAGTGCGTGGGGACACAAGGGCAAGGACCCTGAAGGTATATTTACGCCAAGTAGCAGGACGGCACAGTAATTACAGACGTACGGACACTGGAGTGTGAGGGGTCAACAGAGTCGTACAATAATACAACAGCTGATTGGAATTATAGAGGTCCTGAGTAAATCACAGGGGCAAATCATTAATAGGACCGCGGTCACCTGTAGCACTCCAGCTGGGACTTGAGGGCTTAAAGGGAATTAAGTCGCTAATAGTTGTTGGGGGTGTTCGTAAAGTTTGTGAACGCAGTTGTATGTTTTTTTGAGAGTTGTAATTTAATTTTTGTGTTCAGTTGATGAATTTTGGAACGAAATCCACGTTTGCACGAGGCCAGCAGTGCAGGCAGTTTACGGAGCAGGTTATTTGCCTCCAGTGTAACGCTTCTTGGCTTCGTGTAAAGCCAATCGGTTGGGATGTTACCTGCCTCAGGTATCTTGAAATTTAAAGTCTGTGTAATAATATTTGATTGAGATTGATTCAATAAGCGTTTAAATTAGTCATTACTCCAGAAGAATTTGACGTTACATTCGTATTATCATGATGAACCTTTGACTATTGAGCCAAAATATTCCATCTATATTTTAAAGTTGTCGCCATTTAAAAAAAATAACTTAGTTGGATTGAACCACCGACTGTAACCTATAGAATGATGTCGAAATCGTCAATTTTTTAAACCTAGATAACTGGAAAGAACAACTTGTTGTCAACCATGTAACATAAAAGTAACTAAAACTGTAGTGGATAATATAATTTGACTACAGCACACTCTGTGAGCGGATAATTCAACTAACTTTTAAAAGTAACATTGACTACTTCTGGTTTATATATGGGCAATATACTGCAGTATCCAAAAGTAAATGATAAATGATACTATTCATCCATAGCGACTAATTTTGTATCTGTATATTATACTCCAAACTTCCATTAGGAAGTAACCTCCAAGTAGCTTCCACTGACGTAATTCAGTTGTTTGTCAAAATTTTCTCACTTTATGATTTATAATTCAACAAATATAAGATATCGGCAAATTAATTAGCCTATGTAATAAGAAAACCGCTCGGCGGACGTAAACATGTCTACGAAAAGGTGTTTAAGTTCTCTCAACATTTTGTACAATGTATCGAATCACCACACCTATAGTTCGCTAACAATCTATACAACCTTTTGCCCCATGCCAGTTGTACGCATTGTTTATTACATCCACAAATTGGCAGAGCGTCCCCAATTACCCGAGGAAAAATATCGGCCCCAAGACTGAACCCTGGTGTACACCGTGACCTGATCAGGCCAACCAGCACATATCAACCTTTCCTCGTAAAGATACGAGTTGATTTGACAATGCTGATGGGTTTCCTGGTTCTCGGCAAGTCGGTGGCCTTGGAAATTATTCCGCGCATGCAAATTAAACAGCGCTTTTAATTGATTCTGAAGTCATCCGAATTGGAAGTATTTTTAACAAGTGGTTGGAAGGAATAACATGTTGATACAAACAGTTCTGTAAATTATAAATTACAAAATTTGAGTGCGTAACATAATACATTATGCAGAAACCATTCTGTCACTAGTATACGTTTACTAATTGAATTATGGATAGGTCTACTGTTGTAAGATGTGATATGTATGTACCACATGCATGTAGCAAATATTTTATTCAAATAAAGAATAGAGTATAAATAAGCCTCTCACAGAGTACTTAACTGTAAAAAATTATGTTTCATCCCTTATCTTTTCAATCAGCATTGTGTAGTATCTTAGTTGATATGATGTAAAATGTGCTCTATTGTTGAAAATAGTTTGTCCTATCACTTTGGCCAGACACACATTTGGCGTGTTCAATAGAAATCAGTTCTACTTCCATCAATTGTCAAGAAACAA